TTTGTGTGTGTCTCTGTGTGATATGTGTCCCTTTAATGCAATCTTCCTGCACTCCCTAGAACTATAATTAAATTTGGCTTTTCGTTTAATGGAAGTTAGTGAAGTGTGGAGAAACTGTGATAGCCCAGAATATCCAATCTTCACATACAGCTATATGTTGCACGCCATTGGAAATGTCAGCTGCTGGGCTGTATGTGTGTATCAGTGTATGCAGGCAGGTATGGCAGTGTATAGGATGACATTAAGCCAAACAAGGATGGAGTTTCTTCCCTTACGATTACAACAACCTAAACTCTATTTAGGCATCTGTATTATTATTATTATTCCAGATGAATCAACATTTGTCTGACTTATTCTTATGGCTGAATAAAGGAATCTCTATACGTCTGTTATTCTTTCATCTGTCTCAAAGACAGTTGATCCAAACTTGGTAGGTGTAATCCTGGTATTAAAAGGAACTCTTGACGGGTTTTTTTAAATGGTCAGCAAATATTCACAGTGATGTAGTGGTTAACACATTCAATTAAATTTTATTTCTATAGCACCAAATCAAAACAACAGTAGTCAACAGTAATTACATTTTATTGTAAGGTAAAGACCCCACAATAATACAGAGAGAACCCCAACTATCAAACAACTCACTATCAGTGAACACTTGGCAACAGTGGGGAGGTAAAACTCCCTTTTAACAGGAAGAAGCCTTCAGCATAACCAGGCTCGAGTTTCTGGTGAAGGGAAGAGGGGAGGGAGATAGGACAGAAAACACACTGTGGAAGAGAGCCAGGGATTATTAATAACTAATGATTAAATGCAAAGTAGTGTATAAACACATGGAGAGTGAAGCAGAAAAAGTGAATAATGGGACATCTCCAGTTCAAGAGTCCAAAAAAAAAAAAGCATCAGGGGGATTTCAGGCTAGTTTACTGCTAGTACCAGTCCCAAGCAGAGATAAATAGGAGCGCTGCGTCATGAAGAGCATGTGTTATAAAAATCAGACATGATTGTCTATCTACTGCTGCAGCCCCATGGGAAACAAGGGCCCAGCCAAAAGAACCTTTCATTAAGATTCATAGAAGTATCAAAGCAGGGCATTAATCGGAGCAATGTTGCACAAAAAAAGTCCTTGAGTGCAACATGAACCACATCCAGGCAATGGTTTCAACAGCTGGTAGTGATAACATGCCAACAGAAGTAAAAAGTAGCCCAAAAAAAGGCAATGGAGGAGAACACTGCTCCATATAAACAACGTCATATTGAAAATATTTTTAAATGTTATGGAAACTGTTTCTTCAACCCTCATGAATACACCCAGACATAGAATGTCAACAGAACATTTATTTTTACAATTTTTGCTTCTGTTCAAATAAGTATGTAGCATGAACCAGCACCAGGGACCGTAGATTTGTTCAGTTCAAGAGGCTCGATTTCACTTTTCTTGCAATTATTACAAACCTAAACTATATGACTTCTTCGGGTTTGTTGATGTTATATTAGTCCCAGCATTGCTCTACACATTTGAACCTGACTTGCTTCTACCAGGTTCTTTGATATTTAATTAAAATGACCAAGAATATATTTATCCATGCCCTCTAGTGAATATGATGTACTTTGAGGGACTACAAGCAAATAAACAGCTTCTCACTTGAATAGTTCCACGGTGTAAACAAGACCATAAAACAGCAGTTCGTGCTGTCCTGACCGATATGCACGTTGGACTTAGATTTGAATACTACTCATTTGCAGTGGGTTGGGGTTCACTGATAAAAGTAACAGTTCAGATCTTATCAGATGGCCAAAGCTAAAGTAGCGAACTTGTTCATTACTTAACACTCTTCACACATACCTTTTCTTTTTCCAGTACCGAGAGGACTAAAGAAGCACAGTCACAACCATTAATGAACAGGTTAAAACACCACAGTTGTGCATTTAAGTTGACATAATGTCTGAGGTCAGTGAGAGTGCAGAAAGGTAAGTATAGAGTGTTTTCCCTTTCCTCAGCTGCTCTGTAGTATGTTATGTTGTGCGCCCACAACTTCTTGTCTTGGCATAGTGTGTTGGATCACTACTGCCTGTCATGACTGGGGAGCTTAGATAAACTGCTGCTGCAGCACAAGGCACAATTTGCAGAACTGGTGTTGGCATTCATAAAACGATCAATAAAAACAAAACAAAAGAAATGAAAGATCTGCTCAACTGAAGCTAAAGCCTAAAAAATCTGACCTTTGTTATTTGCCCTGTTGAAACCAATTTTATTATACCTGACATTATTTTAAGTATAATTATTTTTTATTATTTGTATTTTTGTTCATATAATGCATTTGTAGCATGCATTTCATTGTTTAGTAAATGGGTTTAAATGTTTAGTAATGCTTAGCAAACAAAAAAAGGTTTTGATCATCAGTCTATTTTATTTTATTAAAAATTAGACTTATTCAGAAACACTACACACATTTGAAATGTTATGCATTTACATGACTGTAACCTGTTATTGTAATGTGATTTTCAGAATTCCCTCAAATGCCTTTATGTTCAGGTCAGTCTATTGGCTTCCAAAGACAGGTCAGAGGTCAAATGGGACATATTTTAAATCTGCATACGGTGCTTTCTATATATTCCCAATAAACACTAAACTTCTGAGGCTTTTTGTCAATTTCCCACCAATACATGAGCTGACCTTGTAGACTTTACTGGATGTAAGGCACATTTTATTTGATGGTTAACTCTACTTCCCTAAACGTTTTATCAGAATTCATTCAAAACATCATTCAAATTTATTGTGTTTACAGACAGAATGATGGCACGCATGCACACAAACGCTGCCAAATAAAATAACCAAATAAAAAGAAGAGGAAGAAGAAGAAGAAATGTCCTTTGTATAGTGCTCAATCAAAGCCAGCCTTAAAAAGCCCTTCCTGCACTCTTACAGATGTATCAACAACAACACATAAAGTGCTAACACGTGTTGCATCAGCTCAGGGACAACACACGTTGTGTCAGATTTGTCACACACGTGTTTATTTTGAAAGTTGTTTGAAGGTAATTTTAAGCCTTTTTTTACACATGTTGTGTCAAAATTCACGCAAAAGGTGTTGCACATGTGACAACACGTTTCTGCATTACTTTTTTAAGTCCTTTCAAAGAGTGCAGAAACACAGAAAATCATACAAATTTGGAGGGAATTTACATATCAATTAAAATATAGCCTTTAAGACTCAAGTCAAACTAAGGATAGGAATAAGATAAAATGTCCGACAAATTAAAATAAATTAAATGATAAAGATGGAGTTCATTAATCATATGATAGCTTTGATATTGCGCTGAATATTAGTCTTGTGAAACAAGTATCCAATAAAGAAATAAAGTTATCAAAAACGTCTTATCAGTCACCACGGCTCCTAATAACTCTGTAATATCAGCTAAACTGATAACTGTACACACTGTGGCAAAAATCTATTATACTAGCCAAACATAAGCATGACTTGAATTCTAGGCTCACGTTAAAAGATAAAGAAATTTATAACCAGATAAAAAAAAGAAGAAGAAGATATCTCTGGGACAATTAATCATTTTAACTTCAGTGAAGTAAGTGTTTATAGTTCAATTTATAATCTCGTGTGCTGTGAAAGACCGAAAAAAGCAGATGCCAGTTAAAATAATGATAAAGAAAGAATACATTCATTTTGCGATGGCTCCTACTTCAGTATAAAAGTGTGATTAGGGCTTGAAGCTGCATGGAACCACATCCAAAAGGGTTTCTAACTACGTCTGTCAGGGTCTCCTCACAAGACCTTGGCAGCAAGAAAGCTCGATTATCACAGAGCTGTTTTGTCAAATTAGAACCATCCCTGTGTTAGTGGCAGTAAACTACAGGCTGGCTGTTTTCTATTCTCCAGATGCTCCTGGTACAGACACGTCTTGCCACAGCCTCTTGATGTTTCTTGTTAACTGTAAATTGTTTGTTTTTATTAACTCAGTAGCTGGTCTGCAGCTTTCCTCTATGAACTCCAGGGAACTGTATCAAGTGCCAGTTAGGTAATCGTGATTAAGAGATTCAAATACAGTCCAAATGTCAAACTCATGGTACCACTAGGGGAAAGTCAGGGGATTGTTATGATGCCTCTAGGGATCGTCTACAAATGTTAAAGCAGTCAATCCAGTAGTAGGAAATATTTCAAGTGACGTGTCTGAACTAATTTGAAGTGAATGGGTGATCAGAACAAGACAACATAAGGTTTTTAAATATATCTTGCAGTATTATGATGATTCGTACTCTCTCTCTTTACTGTTTAGATAAAAGGCTGTAATCAAACTCAAAATAACTGGAGTTAAGGTCAGTTCTTCTTGTGGTTTATCGCATGGCCCCAAAAAGGGCATAAGCATGTAAACCAACGCAAAGTTGTTGGAAACCTGGAGTCAGGGACTTGTGAACTTTTACCCAGAACTCAAAGAAGGATGTTGGGGAATTGAATGTGTTTATACAGGATATGTAAAACAATGCAATGTATTTAAACTTGGCGAAGCGTTTCGCAATTATGTAAGAACCTAATTACAAAAGTCATCATCTCTCTGGCTCATACTTACCTGAATTTATCATTAAAAAAATACCTGCTTTCCACAGATTGCATCCAAACGTGTGGAGCGACGATCATCATCCTCACCCCCACCGTTGTTATCACCGCAGAGGGCAACCGCCGTCGACAGCCCTTGAGTTATTTTATTTAGACTACACTGACCTCTAGTGGACTTAACGAATAATACAAGTGACTTTCATCCGGGCTCCTTAAAAACCTGCAAAATTATTTGAAATTATTTTATCAAGCAAACTATGGGGCGTGTAAAACATTACCCCCACCAAAAATAAATGTAAAAAATGGTACTCTATTTTTTTTGTTTGTTTCTCGCGAGACAGATGTTGCTTAATCAGTCCTAGTCGAGACCTCACTTGTTAGCCCTGCCCTGGGACCAGCTGCTCTAAATTCTGTACCCTGCAGTATTTTTCCGCGTTCCCCACCGACCACACATTCCCCAGCCTCGGCTGCCTCTTTCCAGAAAACTTTTTCCATCTTCATCAGATACTAATAAGTACACTTAAAGGTTTTACGGGGCTTTTTTTTCCAGCGACACCCATGGGAGAAATGACGGAGGAAAAGAATTGTTCGGAACTTATTACTCAGATATTACAAGAGGCGCCGGCTGCCAGGAAGGACCTTGTTGATAACTGCAGCAACCTCCACCGAGTGGCAGATTACTGCGATAACAATTATGTTCAGGTGAGTAATGCCCCCACTCCCAAAAAAGGGCCACAAGGGGTATATAAACAAAAACAGTTTTCATAGGTTTGCATGTTTAGATCTTTTATAATCATCATCATCATTATTTTAATTAATCTTTAAACAATTCAGGCAGAAGATCAATCCAAGGCGGTTGAAGAGATCAAGGCTTTGGTGAACCAGTCGCTGGCCAGTGTGACCTATCAGATTAACAATGTGGCCAGCTCTGTGCTGAGACTGCTGGACTTACAGGCCAGGAAGATTAAAGACATGGAGTCCTCCATCAACCTGCTGTCACTGGTAAATAGCCATATATTTTTAGTACAGTGCTAGCTGCATGTATGTGAAACTGGTCGTTTATAATGTAACATTTCTGTTTAAAGCCACAGAGTAACTTTGTCAGAGGTTCTCAGGGGAACAAGTGATGTGATTAAGAGTTTTTGCATCTTTCTGACTGAAGCTGTTTCCACTGTGCTTTGCAGGATGCAGCTATCCACTGTGAGAAGGTGGCCAGGAGAGAGATCGGTGTGTTCACTACCCCCAAAAACAAGACTTTTTCCAAGCTTATGACCCCACCAGCTTCAGGCAAGGAGCCCATGGAAGCCTACTCAAGAGAGCCAATCTCGTACTTCATACTGGACAACATAGGACACAGTTTTCAGGTAAAGCAAAATCTGATAGGCTAGTCTTCCTTCTTATTAGATGAAAGCTTTATAGAAAAATCGTCTCCCGGTATGGTACATGTTATATGTGGAGAAGTGCTGTGGCCTTCATTTTTCTTCACTCCACAGGTCACTGAAGCGCCCAGAAAGAGAGCAGGAACTGCAGACAGCATACAGATCGCTGCAGACACCTCTTTGTACGTAGACCCTTCCTCTTTGTGGCTAGTTTTTTATGGAAACACTGACATAATTGTTGTTTTAATTAACACCCTTAACTTAATGAAAATTAACTATTATGATATGGAAAAAGGCGGTATGTTTGTGGGGTTGTTAGCACTGTAATGTCCTGGGTTCACTGTGAGGTCCTGGGTGTGAATGTGAGTGTGAGTGGTCTCTGTGAGCACCAGCACTAGTCTCCTTCATGGTCATGAGTGGCGTTCATGTTTCCAACTTCTTCTAAATCTCTTGATTTCACAAATGTGGACTGTTCCATTCTAAAACACAGTTTCGCTGTCAGGTTATCAGTAGTGCTCATGGTGTTTATGTCTTGTCTACAGCTCCAGTCACGGCATCGCTGTGCCACCACCCTCAGTCCCCGCCAACAACAGCCTGCCTCCTCCTCCTCCAGCCTCTTCAGCCTGTTTGGACCCCGACCTGCCTGCTCCCCCGCCGCCTCCCCCACCACCTCCCTCTTTCTCCATGGACACTGATCTCCCCCCTCCGCCCACCTTCCCCTCGCCCACAGATCTCCCCCCACCTCCCCCTTCACCTCCCCCTTCACCTCCCCCTCCACCAGCTATAAGCCCGTCAAGCACCTTCCCGTCGCCACCTCGTCCCGTATCTGCAGGTTCCCCTCTTCCTCCTCCACCTCCTCTTCTGTCAGGACCACATCTCAACACTGGCACCTCTGTTAATGTGCCACCACCGCCGCCACCGCCTCCCCCGCCTCCCCCACCTCCCCCACCTCCCCTAAGACTGTAACATTACAGTGTTTCTTGTACTTGGTAGAATAACTTCTCATATTACTTGCAGTTACTCAGACTGCGAACAAGGACATGAGATCAACATTAATTTTGTTTCGTTTTTTAGCTTGAGAGCTTGCAATGGTTTACAGCTAGCCTGTTGAATGGCAGTTCTGTTGGTACAGACAGCCGCTCTACAGATTCCTCCAACATGTCTCAACAACACCTCGACTGCATTCCTTAAAAACAAGCTGAAACAGGGATTCTTGCTCTCCCTTGTCTGCTTATCCCCCCCACCCCAAAATGTGATTTCCTTTCCTTATTACACCTGCATATTGTTACCTTTAATTGCAGTGGACTTTAGCCCAGCGCAGCTGTCAATATACTGTGTAGCAAGAGCATAACTGATGATAAGTTGCGTCAATCTAGGTGATTTCCGCTTCTTAAACAAGTCCATGAGGCTGTACATTGATATAAGTCAACATTCTGCTTAACCTACATATAGCTGAAGGTAAGCTTTATTTTAAAAATGGAAATAATTTGATGAATCTATTAGTAATGGATTTTGTTAAGCGAGGCCCATATCACGAGGAGAAGCCTGGTCACACACAGCCTGTGTCATTACATGTCATTCAAAATGAAAAATAAATGTTTCGTAATTGTCCTCGCTTGCTGTATTCCTCCACTTTGTTTGATCCAAATTTTGTTGAGGTTTAATTTTGTACTGAGGTGTGATATAAAGTGTGTTAGCAACAATTAAACGTTTGTGTTAAATGAAGTTTTAACGTAAATGTTGATTAGCTTTACCTTAAACAACCATTGCCAAGAGTTTATAATATGTGCTGTGACTAAGGTGTAATTCTCCTGTAATTAAATCAGTGTTTTTTATTTCAAATCATAATGTAATTATATCAAGCTACAAATACTTAAAGGTAGGAATAACAGAATAAAATAGGTGGGCAACAACTCGGGTTTTTACAGGAAATAAAGAAATTATATGGTAAATTAATGTTACCGTAAATAAATGCATGTACTGCATAAGTAATTTAAAGTAGTGTAAAATTTCATTGTCATTTTGTGGAATACCAAACACTACTCACGCCTTATTTTATGGGGCGTTGGCCGTGTTATGGGGTGGAATAAATCTTCCCTTTTTACATTTTTATTTAATACTCAATATGTTGATGTTCATGATGGATGTTCTCTAAGTCAGCTGTTCTGTTACAGGCCATACATGTGACCATATAAGGATAGAGCCAAGTCATCACTGTTTAAACATAACTTTCTAAATACAGGAAATGAGTGCTTCCTGTACCCAGCTTTAAGTATTTGTAGTTAAATGTATTTCATTGTAATTTTAAGTAAAATACATTAAATTCCTTGTAGTTACAGTGAAATTATACCTTAAGTTGTAGGCCATATTATATAAAGTATTTCCAGGTTTTTTTGTTGTAGTCTGACAGTAGAAGAGGATAAAAATCTACCTTTGAACCTCTCCTTAGTAAGACTCAGATAGTGAACACCTGATTGCATAACATCCATAAAGAAGAGTTAAGTTCATAAAGTTAAAAATGAGATTGAAAATGTATTTTTTTTTTTTTGACAAGTGCTCTTTTTTCTTAAACCTTACTTAGGTTTAAAGAAAAATCTGATGGACCTTCTTATTTTTTTGTAAGTATTTCTTTCCAGGGCAAGATTGATACAAACACCTCATTTTATTAATGTTAGTTAATGATTAAGTTGCCTTTCTCTTTCCAGGGTTCCTGGGTTGATTGTCCTCGTCCTTGTGTGCATATTTTGTTGCCTAACTTATAATAGAGAACCAGGACAATACTGCTCATCTAGTTACAATAATTCCCCCGCTGTGTACACGATCCCTATACTGGACGAGCAGCAGCGGGACGAGGAGGAAGTAATTCACATTTACGAACTGTATTTTCAGCCTCCTGTGTACAACTTAAGAAATGACAGTCCTCCTCCTCCATACATAGTAAGTATTCATGCATTTATGACGTCATGATGATGATGATGATGACAATGATGATGCTCATGTTGTTCACTGAGTCTATTCTTAATCCAGTAATAAGCACGCTCCTTCATCAAATGTGTCCTGTTTTTCAGCTTGAACCACCACCCTACATCAACCCACCTTCACCACCACCCTACATCAACCCACCACCCTGCCTCAACCAGTCACCAGCGCCGCCACCACCACTATCATCACTACTACTACCAGCACCACCACCCTACGTCAGTTCACCATCATCACCCTAACTCAGCCCATAACCATTTATGCCTTCTTCCATCCTTTCCAAAATATGAGCATGTATGTGGTCATAAGTTTCATTTGGGACATTCGGTATCTGTTTTAGATTAAATGTTGTAATTCCACATTGTGGGAGAAAGAATCCTGTATTGACATAGTTCATTTCGAACTTGCTCAAATGCACTAATGCACTTACATGTAAAATATGTTTTGGTAAAAAGTTTTCTTGTAGTTTTTGTTTTTTGTTTTTGCTGTTTCATTGTAATAATCCTGCTTCACAACAAATTCACATTTAAAAAAACTGACCTGATGTTTTTCAAAGGAAGACCAAGGAGGACTGTTAAATTTATATACGTACATATATAAAAGTCAAGGCATTATGACAGAGCAATGTTCACAGAAAGCATCACAGTACTGAGAGTGTTTCTATTTGAGTTACACATCATCTTATTAAATGGACAGGAACTGAAGAGGACACAGCTTATCGTTGCAACCGTTAGGTCGGATGCCGCTCTAACTAACTTGACACCCTTGGACTAAACTTCAGCCTGAAGCCCTGGAATAATGCACTTAAACCTATTGTCTCACTGTGTTATACCTGTTTTTTTGGAGCACTGTCTGTTCCCCTTGTTTTTTTCTGTTTGTTTTTGTTTGTTTGTTTGTTTTTGGGTTTTTTTTTGGGGGGGGGGAGGGGGTTGTTTTGTTTTGCTTTGTGTTATTTTATTTTACTTATCTATATATAATTTTTTTTCTGGAATAATATCTGAATGATCTACATGGGAGAGTATGTATAACGATATCTATGTGTTTCCCCAACACTGTTCATACACGATGTACGTGCATTATTATTATACGCTCAATTTTTTCTATTAATTTCCTCCTCTATTTTATTTGAACTCTCTCTTCCTGTTGGTTAAAATGTTGTTGGAAAAGCAATAAATAAATCTTTGAGAAAAAAAAACACATCATCTTAATAATTAAGTTAATAATTATCTTATTAACAGCTGACCTTTGTACCTGACGTTCAGCTTTTAATACAGTGATATTTAATACACATTCTTTGTTATATCAGGCTGTACAGTGGTTTAAATGTTTCTGACTAATTTTAAACTTTTTGTTTCTGATGGTGATCACTTTGCTGTCCACTCAGCAGTAATTTGTCAGGTTACTCAGAGGTCTACAGTCGAATAAGTCCCATTAAAAACTGCACAACAAACTCATGCATTTATGTTATTATTATCATTATTATTATTATCTAGAATGAGATATTCTCAGAATATGTGAAATATTTCCCTAATTTATATTTTTAGTTAAAATAATTTGTTTTGGTCTTCAAGCTTTTATATTTTTTCAATATTGTGCATTTGAGTGACACACTTTGTTACTCTTGGATAGTATTTTACAATTTGTTGTAATTACATTTCTTTATAAGCAGGAGCTGTCTCTAAAGCCAGAGATTTTAGCGCGACACCACTAACTGTTATTCTACTGCTGAGCGAGAAGGTTTATGTTGTTTACATCACTGATTTCTGGTTAATGGGGTTTTAAAACATCTGTTGCTCCCCCAGAAAAATTTGAATGTCACTTCCTAGATGACATATTTAAGATAAATGGCTCCTGTTCATCTGCCATGACGGGCCATCACTTGGTATGTCACAGTCCACATCTCTTGTATTTAATAGTTCAATTGCCACAAGAAAAAGGGATTAAAAGAAAACAAGATAACGTCATTTAACAGGTGTTAACTACATGTAAACACTACAAATAAAACTAATATATTCCAACAGAGGAATTGGGCAATCAGTCTGGCAAGAATATTGGTCAGTTACAATTTTCAGGTATTTCAATCATCTAAATATTTTGAGTGCTTCCAAATTTGTAAATATCACATATCTACAAAAAATTGTTTTTTAGACTCTTTTAAGTGATAAGGCATGGAGGACTCAAAGTATTACAGACTCACTTGTTCATGTGTGGGTTTTTTGGCGTTAGAATGATATTAGTAAATGGTAAACATCATCTATGCAGACAGAATTTTCCTCTCAGTACTGCAAAATTTATCGTGTTAGAAGTAACAGTCTTTCTAACATTTATTTACTTATTTATTTATTGCATAAAATGATGAGAAAACATAAATTAATTGTATTAGGATATCTTAGATTATCTGTGATAGCTATGTGAAGGGAAACACTATGACCATGATGCCAGGTTTATAAATGGCGGTTAAAAGCTTTAATTTACAATGGTTTTATTCAGTCCTGTGTTGCTGTGTCTTTAAGAAAGACCATATTGCAGTAAAAGCTCTTCACACTGCACCTCCCTAAGTGACATATTATCTTTTATAACAAGCGACAGGTCATGACACTTTCTGTATGTTTGCATTTTGAGATACGGTAAGCTCATGCTACTATAATATTACAATGAGGCTTAAAATCAAGTTTTCATGTTGGTGTGTCATATGTAAAAATTCTGTAAAATCAACTTTGTTTTTGTTTTTGTTTTTTTACCTACAGTTGTACTAAGTGTCATTTTTATGGGATGACAGGTGCGATCTGTTAAAACTCAGTGCGGCACAAAGGGAGATACTGTCTGCTTCTTCTATAGGCTGCTGACAAACACATCAAATGTTTCTTGTTTCTCAACAATTTTTAAAATGACAATACTGTGAGTAAAATATAATAGAGTGACTACAGGTAAACCTTCAACTTAAAGTCAGTACTTCAAGTCTCATATAGTAACTGTTCCTCTATGCT